AAAATTTTGCTGTCGCGGAGTAAGAGTGGAAATGAAAACGAATAGGCAAAGGTGTATAAACCTTACCGGCGCATCTATTGAGAATTGTCGGACAAATGTCTCATTCAAGCCAAAATTATTCAGTTATGAAGTACGAAAAAATCATGATAAGCTATCAAAAATAATCGATGGACAATTGTTGGTCAAATTTTTTCTAGACAAACGTGGTGTTCAACGTTCAAGTGAATCATTCGCACAGACGATTATGATGGAACCAATTGTCGTGTTGCTGTACATTTGTTGTTGTTTTGCTGCTTGCTGGTTTGTTTGTTTGTTTGTTTACAGATGCAGAGGAGAGGGTGGGGACTTTTTGTGTTGTACTTTGATTCTGCGGAGTCCAATATGACAACCATTGAGAGCCCTGATCGCTTCCTGCGCTTGCAAAGCAGTCTCGAAGCTGCAGAAACCTAAAAAAAACGAATCTGATAAGAGAGTTGAAAACGATTACGTCGCATGTTTCTTACAGTCAGTTATAAATAGTTACAAAAACATCGGACAAACAACTCACTTAAAAAACAACGAATAGATTTCAAAAAAATAAACATTTTAAAATAATTATGCTTAAGAAATTTGTTCTTTGGTAGACATATTTCAGAAACATTTTGCTAACAATTGAGCCTCAAGTTGACTGAGAAATTAGAGTTGCATGCAAAAATTAGTCAAAAACTGTCAAATTTTTTTTTAAAGTAATTCTGGCAGTTCGAATTTTTTGAGTTTCTATTATGAAAAAATGCGTTTCAAATGATCATATTCTGCATGAGATGCTTCAGTGCAAGGCAAATAAGACGACAGTACATTAAGACGACACGCCATTGAGAAGGTCTAGTAAAATCGCTTTCATTTATGTTCCAGAAATTTGAAAAACAAAAAGTTGCAATGTTTTACTTTGTTTGTATTTAGTTATCTTATAAGTGTACATAAAGAAATAGTTGTCGCTTTAAAAACTGTTGTCTCATCTGCCGAAAAGCGAAAAGCGGACAATAAAGCTTGCTTTTGGGTAAAACGAATGATTGTTTAACAAAAACAGGATGAAAAGCGACATGAACTTCAAATCTGACAGAAATTTTGAACAAACTTTTGATTATAGTATGTTAAGTTCAATGTTTACTTGACAAACACATAGAAGAAGCAAGTAAAAAACGAGCTCACAGTCAATGGTATACAACGACAAAGGAAGACGAAAGACAAATAGGGCTCTTTTCCTTTTCTCATGTTTTCCGGGAAAATAACTTTGAAGTTTTTGCGATCTTTCTTAAGTTTTGCATCTCAGAAACATAAGTTAAGTAATTTTCCTAATATCAAAAGCTAGTTTCTGTGTAAAAAGCATTAGAAGTTTTGACCACGCAGATTTCGGAAAAACTTACAAAAATAGACGAAAAAAAAACAAAAAGTCCAATTTTGTCGCGAAATTTCCTGTTCTTTTTTCTAAAGAGGTCGATTGAAATAGGTTACAAAATTCTAGAATGCATAGTAATAATTGCTAAGCAACGTTGAAGTTGCAGAAGAAATAAGTTGTTCTGCTTCTATCAATTTGTCTGACTTGGAAAAAACTTCAGCGGATTTGGCGGAGCGGAGAGGGAATCCCCTCAGGGAATCCCCTTTATGCTATTTTAAGATATCCATGTTCGACTGTCTTATTCTAAGGCATTTCTACGGGCCCCTTTGACGCCAATACAACCTAAAGCTGAAGGGGAGCGCCCGCCGAAACAACGCGATTTCTTGGTCAACATTTTCCAAAAAAAAATCTAAGAACGCTTTTTGGCCTTTTTTCAAAAATCTGGCCCCAGAGCTGACTGTTTTTGGGACCAAAATGACTGAAGCGGAAGTGTCTATATTTTTAGGGCGAAAATGACTGAAGCGGAAGTGTCTATATTTAGGGCGGAAATGACTCAAGCGGAAGTGACTATGTTTTTTGGGCGGAAATTACTGAAGCGGAAGTGACTGTGTTTTTGGGTCGGAAATGACTGGAGCGGAAGTGACTGAAACGCTATAAAAAAAACCAAGACATAGCCCATTTTCAGCTCATGAGGTAATCAGAACGAAATTGCATAACTTTAATGAGCGAACCCAAGAAATCTGCTGGGAAAAAATTTTTAACTTTGTTTCAGCACATGCGATTTTTTGCGATTAATACATTATTTAATATAAAGAGTTTTTTCAAGAAGCCTCAGATTGTCATTTTTGGATGGTCGTCAATACACGTTTTAGAAATAACTTTAGTATAGGGTGGATTTTTCTACGGAACATCAGGTACCTTAAGGAACATTTCTTGAGGGGTGATGATTTTCACAAAAATTCTTAAATTAAAAATAAAATTATGATTTTTTTGTATTTCATTTTTTCATGTTATTAATGCTCCATAGACCTTAAAAAGCAATCAGAACATTCAGGCCTTTGCCTTGATACGAGCAATCTTGTTTGATTTTTTGTATTCTACGAAAACTTTGTGCTACCTAAACAACAGCTGCGTTCTCATTTTTACAAAAAGGGCTATAGTTTGTTGCAGCCTCATTTACCACTCAGTAATTAACTTTTGTGAAATATCTGAAATGCATAACTACCTTGATGTACTAATTTTGCAGTTCTGTGTTACAACCATTAAATGGTATGTCTGCTACGTCACTAATTTACTACCTGCCAAAAGCGATGTAGCTTTTGGACGGCCATTGTTCATTTGTTAGCCTCTGAAGCGTTCTAATTCTGACCAACTTAATTTACCTATCTTTTAACTTCGTTAAAGTCTAGTTTTAGGAATTAGTTAGCGTACTTAGAACCTTTTAATATCTTAACCAATTTTAACGTCTGTACCTTAGTTGTTTAACTAAGACCCATTAAGGGAATTCTTTACAGCTTTCAATTGCAGTGGGAGGGGTGGGGGTTTGGTTGATGGGTGGGGATTGAGATACAAGACACAAATTAAAGCAAAGGACAGATGAACATATAACATGGCTGATCGAAAGCGGGTCATTCACTCACCGATCTCATTTTGTAGATATGGGTTTTGAGATATCGGTTTCGGGTCAGACCAGATTTCTTACCTCTCGCCTCCCGCTAAACCAGGATGCCAGTATCAGTTATCAATTATTTATATAAACAAACATGTTATGATATGAGTGCAGACATCGATTGATTAGCTTGGGTCAAGATATTGATTATTCCAGAAATAGATCGAAGTGAGTGAAGCCATTTAGAAATGGAGGAAAAAGCAAGAAGGCGAACGCAAGGCAAACAGCGGGAATGATCTGTCTAAGAAGATAAAGAAAAATTTAAAGGGACTTACAACGAGCAGGAAAATTGGTCAGTTCACTAGTTTATTAAGGTTGCATACTCGAAATTATGATCAATTCAGTTGTTTTTGATCGATTTAGTTAACCTTTTCCCTTCAAATGTTGTAGCTAATGATAGAAAAACTTGAACACGCACGCGAAAGCGATAGTCATTACCAATAAAAGGATGGTTCTTAGATTTAACTTTCTCTATAAAAGACATGCCTTAAATTGGATTGCGCAAGAGCAGGATGTAATTTCGAATGGACATAACATGAGGAAAGGCGTTCAAAGAAACCATGATTTTTCATGGTCACCCGGGCATGAGAAAAATGTGTCAGGCATAGAAATTTGAGACATGATGATTTAATTGTTAAGAGATGATGATGTTGATAGTTAGGATACGATGATGGTTCAGCATTAGGACATGAAAGTTGATTTTTGTTAGGACAAAGCGGTGACATTAGGAGGATATATTGAATGACAGCAATCAGGTTTCTTCGTTTTCAGGTTAGTTAACTCAATTTTTTCTCATATTCACTTACTGTGCAATTTAATTTCGTTTTGATTTGTTTTTCAAGCTCAAACAAATCAGGATTGTCTTCTGTTTTTCAAAATCGTTCATTTCCATATGAACGACTCGCATGATGCAGTATTTTCCGAGCACTTTTCGCTTATTGCCGACGAGGGCCGAGGTGATGATAGTAACGAGTACTCGGCACTACTCGTGATTAGCTTGTGCTGCGCGTAAAACGAGTCGGCAACCGAACCTGCCGAGTCTGATTCGGAGACCCCAAGATCTCTATATGTCGGATCCGAGGGGAGGTTCCCGGGTTCTTCGAGGACTTTAGACTGCATACCCAAGGAGTGGCGTTGTCGAAGTTGGTATTCTTGGTAATGATGACTCATGCTATCATTTGAAGGCATAACAGGTGACTGAGTTTTGTATGGCCTCGAGATGGTACTCATGGAACCCTTTGTATGGTTCTGAGTTGGTGGTCTGTGTTTTTTGTGTTCCACTTTTAGTTTCTTATGGCCCACTTGGCAGCCATCCATGGCTCTTATGGCCACTTGAGCCACATTTGGATTGTCGTAACTCACGAAACCTGTTCACATTATTACGTCACAAATAATGCAATAAATCAGGATTACGTTATCTATTATGTCATCAAGTCGAAATTGCAATAATATTGATTAATCGCTTTTCTGATAAGTTTTTGTTGTCAAAATGATTTATTTTTTGCAATTTGCAAGCACTTTGAAGTAAAATTATTTCACAAAGATTAAAGTAGAAACGCTGGTCAACCAGGGGCGGATTTATGAGGGGGCGGGTGAAGACACTTCACCACATGGTTTTGACCCCCTCGCCAACCAAAGGTTCCTTCCTGTGGTATTATTTGATGAGATCCATTTTCGGCAAAAACCCTAAAAAAATTTTAAACGCGCCTTTGGTCCCAATACATTCTTATTTCGAAGGGGAGCACGCGCCAAAAAACGCAATTTTTTTGTTCAAAAGGTTTCCAAAAAGTACCCAAAACGGTATTTTTGACCAGTTATTTTTTTAAATTTGCCTGTGACGCAAAAAAACTTTGCCAAAATAGATTCTTTACAGTGTTCTGGGAGCGCTCGGAAAATCAATTTGGCCGACAAATTTTCAAAACCTAATGAAAATTGAAAATCTCTCTTCTCGAGAAAATTCTAGATCCGCCCCTGTGGTAAAGCTAACTTCTCGGAGGTAAAAAAAAAATCACATGTGCAGTTTTAACAAGTTTTCTCTTAATTAAATGCGTATTTTTATTTTGGCTACATACTATACAAAAACTATACAAAAACGAAGACACAGATTTATTTTTCGCTGAGTAGTGAGATTTGTTGACTCACCGAAACACTTGCTGAGATTGGTGTTTTTGTCTATAAACACTTTTGCGCTGATCACATTTCCGAACGGCATGAACGTCTCTCGAAGATCTTTGTCTGAGAAATCTGGCGGCAGGTGGTATATGAACAAATTAGAGCCCTCTGGCCCCTCCCTCTGGCGTTCGTGGGGGTTGGGGTGGGGGCTGGTGCCTAGATTCAAACCGAGAGGGGAGGTTGCGAAATTTTGTTGTTGTTGTTGTTGTTGTTGTTGTTGTTGTTTGGCAAGAGAGGAGGCTAAGAGAAAGGGAGACACTGAAGAAGAGATGTTTCCACTCAGAAATGGCAGACCTAAAGCAGGGAAACTTGACTATGAGTCTTCATCGGCTTAAGCATACAGTGCTGATTAAGTTTATCAGGACAAAGTTTAAACAAACATTTAAACTTCAAACAACTTTTTAAACAAACATTTAAACTTCAAAGTGGATTAAGATTAAACAAAAAATGGAGAGAATTTCAACTGTCTTTTTCTCAAAGTGGGTTAAGTTTAGACAGAAAACGAAAAGAACAAAATTTGCTCAGAATTTCACCAGAATTAATACGATGCTAGTTTTTTCGAAATTAACAACCAAAAGTTTATCTCAAAAATGAATATTTTTAGCTTTAATCATGAAGAAACTGACAGTTTAATTGATTGCATCAAAACAAGCCTCTTATACAGCCCAACAGAGCTCTAGAGGAATGAAATCTCCAAAAACGCGCGCAAACAGTTTGAAAATTGTTTTTAAGCAAAGATTTTTAATTTTGTATAGTAAAAATGACATTTTTTGGCCATCAACCAAAAATATATTCTCCGATTTTTTAACTTTTAGCCCTTCTAGGACTTTGCTGGGCTGTGTCAGAGTCTTCTTTTGAGATGAGTTTTTCATCAATTAACACGGTACTTTCTGCGTAACTTTTGTTTATCTGAAAATAGCTAAAATTATCCATACTTAACCTAATGAAAATCTCAGCAATATTTTGATTCTTTGTTTTTGTCTTACCATAACTCAAAATGAGAAAAACTTGTTTGAGTTTTCCAATATTTTACAAGTTGTTTCCGGTTATTTTAAATCAGCACTGTATTAAAAACCCATGTGTTCTGATTTTCATACGGGGCTGATTGAAATTAACTGGACAAAACGAACAAAATTGGAACAAAACTGGAATGTTTGGCATAGTTAAACAGGTTTTTTTAAATTGGGTCAACATTAGACAAATTATAATGAAGACGAAACTCTCTCAAATTGAATTAGAGTTAATATGATTTCATTTAATTTGCGAATTTCGGACCCATTATTTTTTTTTCGAAAGAGGGTCATCTTTGGCCCCTTTCACTCTTTAATAAATTCAACCAACTTTACGTAGTCAATTGATTCGCAAATTGCATCAAAAAGAATTTTTCATTCAATGAAATTTAAGAAACAATTTAAAATTTGGCTTTTAAGGTAGAAAAAATGACATTTTTTTATTATTAAACAAATATATAAACATTAAAAAATTGAGATTCATATTGCTAGGCTATATAAGAGGCTCTTTTTGGTGCAATCTGCGCGTAAATTGACTTAATAGTATCAGCGCAATTTATGATTGACTAAAAAGAGCTTTAAAAAACATTTTTCTAGTAAAATTTTGGGCCCAATTTCTGTAAAATTAAATTCCACCATGATAGTTCTGCTTCAATTCTAGACCATTTTTTTTCTAATACCAGCCCAATTTGAGAAAACATTTTTTTAAACTTTAGGTTTTCTTAGCTTTGTTTGGATAACTTAAGCAAGAACAAGGGTAAGCTTGTTGATGTACAAGAAGTACAAAATTATCTAACAACGGCTTGTTAAAGAATGGAAAAGCAAAACGTCACAAAAATTACGAAAAATTGTCGAACAATTTGAACTTAGTTAAGACCAAGGGTAGATCAAGGAGGGCAAATTTTGGCCAAAACAGGGTCTTTGTAGTGCTATGGGAGAGCTCGGAAAATCAATTTGGTCGACCTTAGAAAAAAATCTACAAAATTTTTCGACATTTTTTGAAAATCCGCCCCCCCCCCTCGAGAAAATCCTAGTTCCGCCCCTGGTTAACACCATTATAATATGAAATAAAATTCGATAAAATACTGCTCTTCCTTTTCTTTCATATGTTCAACAACCAGGCAATTTTTTCCTCGGAGACAACAATGATGAGTTTTTAAAAATCGAAATCACGACCAAGAGGGCTTCAGTATGATATTATTTTTGACCCCGTAGAAGTTTCCCTCGACGTATCTCAAAACACTACCTTCGCCCAATTCCTTCCTGTCATTTCGTGACATGGTCGGAGCAACGACTGGTAGCTGTTCAAGTAACATAGAATATTCCCTGCTGTGCTGCTGTATTGCAACAAAACCTAGTAATTTATTGTATTGACGCCTTTTTTAAATTCTTATTTTAGCCAAACAGATCATTCAAGGAAGTTTTCTTGATGACAAGAAAAACTGGTTTGAATTTTTCTTGTTTTTCTAACTTATTCATATAGCAGACTAATTTAAGCACTCTGCTCTCCATCTGTTCTTTTTGCTCGTTCAATTGTATAGCCTACTAATAATTCCAGCACGCTTATCCTTTTTTAACAATAACAAACAAAAGTTTATTTAAAAGTGTAAAACTTTTAAAAAAAACGAAATACTTGGAAAATTGTGCACCTATCCAGTGCTTAGTTGGCTCCATATTTGATGTTTTTTCTTGTTGCTCCGAGCACTCTTGAATCATGGATATGAGCTATGGATAAGGCTCCGTAATTATTTTTTTCCAGTCAATTTTGTCGAATGCAAGGAAAAATAGTATGGGACCAAGTGTAGTATCATATTCAAGCCTTATTTTTTACAAATTTTGAAAAGGTCGTCTCATTCTCAAGAAAAACTGGTCTGAGTGTTTTCGATTTTTGAACTAAATCAGAAAAAATGAGCCAAGGGCTGAATTCCCAAGTTTAATTCTATTAAAGTTTTATCAATTAAGACAAAAAGTTAACAGAAAACCTAGACTTCAATAACAGCAGAAATAATTTTTTGATTTTGTTTTTAGAAAATTTGAAATTTTTCTTTGTTTTTGAATTTATTATTTATATATATTTTAGTCAGAACATTATGTGCTGATTGCCCGGGTTGACCAAAAATGCTAATCATAATTTTTCATATATGAAAAAATGCTGCACTTTTTTATACACTTTTCATGCAATTCCATAAGTACAGAAAATTGCATGAAAGGTCTATGATTAGTGATTCTTCATTTATGGAAATTGCATGACTAGCAGTTTCCCATAAACCAAAAAAAGTTATTTTTTTAAACTTTTAATTTCTCAAAATTCATGGGATATGTTCGTGACCGAACAGAAGTGACAAAAACCATCGTTAACTCCAAACTAGAGTCACTAAAAATTTGATCGTCATGTATTTACAATGCACTGGAAACGACCTGAGTTCTAACAGAGTTTTCTTACACAAATATAGTAAAAGAATCAAACTTTTAATTTTTAGACTTTTAGATTTTTTTTTCAAATATGAGTTTTTAAATTATCAGACAATGATCAAGGCATACATAAACATACTATACAAAAGAAATAGGAATGTTTAGCGGTTTTGAAAAAAGTTATCCAGAGAAACGGAAAAAATCCAAGTTTTGTGTATCCAGGACTACGTTATGCGCCCAAAAAATTAAAATTTGCATGCCAAAAAAAAATTTTTGGAAAATGTTTGTTTGAATACAAAGATCGATTTGCGGTTGAAAAAAAAGTTTTGCGGCAATTTCAAAATTACTGGGAAAATTTTTTGTTGTCGCCATCAAAAAAAATCCTAGTCATACAATTTCCATATATAAAATTGTATGATAAACATTTTTTGCGACAAAAAATTTTTCTTCCATGTTTAGTACGATACACCTACTTTTATCCCAAAACAAGCAAAAAGATGACAGCCATGAAAAAAAAATTTATGAAATTTGTATGATTAATATTTTTTATAGACTTGGTTTATGGAATTGTTTGACCAGCGTTTTTGGTCTATGGAGGTCAACCCGGGTGCACATGAACCGGCTTATCCTTGTTTTTATTACAAATCAGTTATTATCAATTAGTTTGGATTGAGCTCAGAGAAAGAAGTTCAGAGTAAATGTGATCAATAGTATTAGTAGCCAATTAGTGGTGATAACTGATAGTAGTACCTAATGATGATGCAGTTAGTTGTGCCTGTGCGTTAGCCTGGTGTTGTTGTTGTTGTTGTTGATTAGCTAGCAGCTGCAAAGCAGCCGCAGTTACAGCTGCCTGGTGACTCATATTTGCCGACGAAGAAGAAGAACCCCCGTTTAGTGACGCACCTGTGGATGAATCAGCACTTGTTGGGGTGGGGGTTGAGGCTACTTCATTCTGATTGGTTAAAACAGATGACGAATCAGCAACGCTTCGTTGAGTTGTTGTTGTGTTAAATGCGCCTGTGGCTTCAAGGATTGAATGTAATTGGCTGTTTTGTTGCTGCTGTTGATGTTGGCTCTGGAGAGCTGCGATTTGATTGGCCAACATGGATTGACCAATCGGGTTGGAGGAGAGAGTGTTGGCTGCTTGCAACAGGGACGTGGCTGATGCTAAAAATCAGATCGGGAAATTGAAAAACAAATTAACTATTTTTCAAAAAACTATTTTAAGATTTTTACCATGGGTGCTCGCTTACCGTAGTGACACTTCAATACAAAATCTTTTGATCGGATAAATTTTAGCTTTTGACGGCTTTAAAAATTTTAAACTCCAAATTAAAAAACAAGTGCTTTAAAAACTTGATCCAACTAATTTTTTCAATTTTAAAGAGACTAAACATAATTTTTTCAACATTAAAAATTAAAAAAGAGAAATAAAAAGAAATAGAAAGTTTCGTAGGTATTTTTGTAGCAAACTTTCTTTTTCAGATTTTTGTTTTTATATTACCTTTTCAGTTTGCTATTTTTGCTCGATAAAACTTCTAAATCAAGATGAATTGAACCACTTTGCCGAAACATCCCAATGTGACATTAGCAGAACAGTTTAACTGTTTTAGAAGACCCTGAAATTGATTCTGCCAAGCAACGAAAATTGATTTTACCAAGCAAGATACTTACCACTTTTCAGAATCTGAGCCACCGGGTAAAAACTAACTAACTCGGCCAGCGAACATTGAGTTCGAGTATTTATATGCGTTTGACTTTGAAAAAGAAAAATTCTGGAAAAAGTTCAGTAGAAAGATTCTTAGACTGATTCTGAGTAAAACGGCATTCAGAAACAGTCTTTAATGGGTTAACTGCTGCAAGACTCCTCTGGTAAAAACAACGAATCTACTTAACAATCCCCCCCCCCTGTAAATAAAAACAGTAAACTCGCACTAGAGCGTTGTATGTAAATTCGAATTTTGCTGCATTCTGATTGGTCGAAAATTCGCTGCAAGTACTTAACAATCTCCCCCTTTCTTGAAAAGGGGGGGATTGTTAAGTAGATCCAAAACAACTACAGATTAACCAAGTTGCTCATAACAGGGCGATGCCCTTAATGTTCCAATAGTCTTTCAGTTTGTCATAAGTGCTGTTTAATGATATATAACGTGAGAATTTTGGGTATATGTGAAAAAATGTTTAAAAGTTTATTCGTTTTTTTTTTCAATTTTAAACATCACCCTCCACCAGAACCGTTCAAGCAGTAGTGATTTATCTTGCGTTTTGGCAAGCAAATTTTTAATAAATAAGTTTGCTTCAACTAACTGCGTTAATAGAAAATGCGTTCTAAAAAGACAAAGTTTTCGCATCTACCACACGTTTGTAATTTTGAGATCAGAATATATGGCATCGAAACAATTCTTTCAAAATGGTTACTGAAGAAGTTAGACTTGTCTGCGGAAAAAGAACACCTAGCTCAAATATTCTATCATTTTCCAAAATCATTAGAACAAAACAAACAAGGCGTTTTATAATTTTTTTGACAAAAAACATACGTATTTGACAAAAAAAAGGTTCAATGAAGAAAAAAGTGAAAGTATTAAGTAGCAGAATATAAAAACCTGCTTCTCAGGGATTCGACACCCCGCATACCCAACGCGGTCCCCCTTTGTGCTATTTTGAGAAATCTATTTTGGTGAGGTACCCTAAAATTTTTCTAAAGGCGCCTTTGGCGCCAAAGAATACTTTTTTTTGAGGTGGGAATGGGCGCCAGAAAACCAAGATTTTTTGGTCAAAAGTTTCAAAAAAATGCCTATATACGCCGTTTTTTGGCTGTTTTATTAAAAACTTGCCTGCGGCACAGAAATTTGGTCAAATTGGGGTATTTATGGTGATTTGGTAGAGCTCAGAAAATCAGTTTGGTCGACCTAAAAAGAAAAAAAATGTCGACAAAATTTTCGATTTTTTTCTGAAAATCTGCCCCCCTCGAGAAAACCCTTGATTCGCCCCTGCTTGTAGGGGTTCAAAAAAAAAAGTTTTCAAACTCAGAATTTAGTTGGAAATTATTGCTTTTGAAAAAAAATTAGGCAAAACTATTGTACTGAAGAAAAATATCAGTCAGTTTTATAGTTTGCACCATTATATTACAGCAAACCGTAACTTTCAAAATATCTGTCCAAAATTTTGCATTCCCAGGGTTCCTGCGGTGAGAGGAAGACATTCCTGCAAAATTGGTTCAATTTTTTTTCTACTATTAACCATTTATATGAACAATTAACACAAAAATTACAAATTCCTTTGAGAGCAATTAGTTTTCCTACAAAAAAACTATAGATCTAGGTATTTTACAAAAAAAAATTATCAGCAAAAATAAAACATTTGTATAACTTTTTGTTTTTTCCTTCTTGCTTAATAGGCGTGATTTTGAGAAAATCAGTATATATTCTGTAAATAATGGTATACAGTTTTTATAAAACTTAAATAAGCTTTTTTTAAGTCTTGATAGAATTAAAAATAATTTCAAAAATGAAGATATTGTGTGTGAAAGTTTAGCAAAACAATTGCATTGAAATTGAAATTTGCTCCGATTTTCTAAGAAGGTGACAGAGTTTTTTGCTTGGGGTGGTTATTTTTCTATCGACATGAACTTTCAAAATCCTGTGAAAGACAAAGATTTTTTTTAGCTCAGATTTAAAAAAAAATAATTAACCTGTAATTAATTTTGTTAAATTATGGTGGGGGTGGTTCAAAGATCGCCAATTTAGCCTAATTGAGACTGTTAAACGCAATATATTTCGTGCTATTATAACGTAGGGAAGATTCAATTCGACCTAGAAGTCGCTTCAAATTGAATCCAGTTATGCTTTTTGGTGTATTTAATGCTTTGCTATATGCAAAATATAGCACTTTGTAATTGATGATGATTTATAAAAAAAACACAAAAAACTGTTTCTTCTTTTGAAAGTTTTATTAATTTTTTTAAAAGTGAACATTACTCCATCGACCTGAAAAACAGTCCGAAAAATCAGGGCTCTGTCATGATACGAGCAGTTTTATTAACAATATATAATTGAAGTTTCACTGTTAAAGAATAAAAAAGACACCACTCGACTGGCAGCAAATTGGTCCTTTTTGTGTTCTTCCAAGATCGATTTTCTTTTTTTGTTACTAATTTTGTAATTTAGAAACAAAATTTTTCTGTTCTTGGAAACAATTTTTTTTAAATTCGTTACATGATCTGAAATCTTTATATGTTTCTGTATATAATCAATTTTTATCTGTTTTTGTCAATGCGGGTCGTCTTGGATCCTAGTTTGTATCTAAATTTACCGACACCTTCTCAAGAAACCACATACCCGACTACATCTAAATGCACTTAAAATTCGCGCGACAAGATATATATATATGTGGTGAATATTGTAGGACTAGTGATCCCACCGTAATTATTCGCATAGTTGTGGGGGTGGACTGCAAGGGTTGCGTAGAGGTGTGAGGTGGGGGTGGGAGAGGGACCCCCACCCGCTACAACTGCGGGTAGGAAATATGCACCAGATAAGGTGGGGTCCCCACCCCCGAGCACCGGAGAGAAACCGCCGGCTCCACTCAAAAGAGCTGCTGCTTGAAATTAAAACTTGTTTTAGAGTAAATACAAAAATTGAGCAAGCTATAATGAAAGCTATGTCTATGCGAGAATAGATGTCGATGCCTATGTTTTTCATACAAAATGTTGTGTGTTGCAAAAAAAATTAGAACGACCTTTTTGAGCACTAAATTTGTTAATTCAGTCGAAATTTTTGAGCAAAATTCATTTTTATTTTGACTTCGATATGTAAATTCTGTCCTAAAAATTTGCCTCTGCATTCGATTTTTCTTTGAAATGAGCCAATTGTTCTTCTTTTTATTGCTGTAAGTTCGAACAATTTAAAGATTTGAGCCTGAGCTGAGATCTTACCTTGTGCCTGTGCTATTTCTGTGGCAGAAAGCGTATTTGCCGGTTGTGCTGAAGAGCCCTAGAGAAAATAGATGAAAATTAGTAATTGCTCATAAGAAAATTGTTAATGCAATTTTAAATCGATTTATCGATATCGATATTTGTTCTTTCCTACTTTGCAATCAATGTCGAGGGGATCTGTAATATAGTCTTATTTTTGTTCCGACTATTTGAATATGGGGAGGATTTTTCGATTCAGGAGTGTTTTCGTTGTTTTTTTTGTTTTTTTTTTCCACGAAAAATCAGGTTCCACAAATAATCATCGGACTGGGTTGAGATTTTTCCGTCGATATTCGATCGAGTAAAGCGAGCGAGCAGGCTTACAATAGCTTATTTCAGTGGCTTAAAATCTTAAAATAGCTTAATTTAAGTCGCAAAAAATTTAGTGAAATTAGTTTTTTTTAGTATTTTAGCGCCAAAAACTTCAAAATTTTTTTTAAAACTTGAATTTTCGAAATTTTTTGATTTTGTTTGTTTGTTCTAGAAAAATTGTCTTCAAAATTGCCTAATTTATTATGACTGTCGAATATTCCCAAGCTCTAGTTTTTCATTTAGATGCTTTTATCACATCACGCCCAAAAAAAAACTAATTTGAAAAAAAAAACTCTTGTTGTATTTTTTAAGACTATGGTCGGAACATTCCGTGGTACTTGCACAGTAACCGACTATTCTTGTTTAAATATGTAATTAATCATAACTATGATCGATAATTTAAAATCTCCAACTATGATCTTACATTTAGAACATTAGTCTGCGCGGTTGCACCATTGACACTGTTTAACAGACTAGCAGCAGCGTTGATTTGTGACAGACAGTTCAAAGCGGCCGCTACCTGTCCGGGATTATTTCCCCCACCCGAGAATCCCAAACCGGTACCAGGAACCCCCAATCCCGCTGACCCACTATCAACAGTGGTCATAGCATGGGCCATAGTATGGCCATTGGCAGTGGGAGTGGTAGATGGTAGTCCATATATGGCCGGGTTCGTGGCCCACTGGCTAGTTGTGTGATGCATTCTTTTCTGTTCTTTGTCTTTCTGTGAGTCTGCGTTTTTAACAACTAATTGGGTTCCTTTGGTAGACTGAAAAAAAGCACTTCAGTTAGTTAAGACGGTTTATCCACACGGGAAAG